CTGGCTGGTTGTTTGGCTTGCTTGTTGGCTGGCTAGTTGGTTGGCTTGCTTGTTGGCTGGCTAGTTGGTTAGCTGGTTGGCTGGCTGGTTGACTTGTTGGCGGGCTGGTTGGTTGGCTGGCTGGTTGGGAGGATTGCTGGTTAACTGGATTGTTGGCTGTCTGGCTGACTGGCTATTTGGTTGGCTAACTGCTTGTTTGGCTGGATTGTTGGTTGGTTGGATTGTTGGCTGACTGGCTGGTTGGTCGGCTGGTTAATTGGCTAGTTGGTTGACTGGCTGGTTGGCAGGATTGTTGGTTGTTTGGATTGTTGGCTGGCTGGTTGGTTGGGTAACTGGTTGGTTAACTGGATTGTTGGCTGGCTTCTTGGTTGGCTGGCTGGCTGGCTTGTTGGCTGGCTGGTTGGCTGACTAGTGAGCTGAATATGTGGACGGATGGAGGCAGGAATGGATGGACTACTAGTTATTTGGATGGTTGTCTAAATAGATGGATAGTTGGGTGATTAAGTGGCTGGATGGAGAAGTGGATGCATATCTGACTGAAGGAAAGAATAGACTGCACAATGATTGATAGTAGATGGATAGTAGATGGACAGTTGAATGGCTAGAAATATGAAAAAATGAGTGAATAGATGATTAGATTGTTGCGATGCAGTTATGGGAGAATAAATGGAAGCAACAGATGGATGACCTGTGTTTTCTGATTGGCCGAGTAGATGGATGCAAGTGCAAAAAGATGCATAGCTAGACGGTTGAAGTATTGCTCGATGAATGGATGGACAGATGGATGAATGAACAGCTGGCAGGATATATGGCTAGCCGACGGACCGACATTGTGGATATATGAACAGGTGAATGGTTGTATGCATAGAAGAATGGATGAATAAATAACTAGATGGATAGATGTATAGATGGATAGCTGGATGAATGGATAGACAAACATTCAGAGGAAATTGTGGCTCAACAATCCACCTCAAAGAGTCGAGGTATGGATGATTACTCGGCTGACAGGTTGGCTGACCAGATGGATTGGCTTATGGATGGATGTATGCATGGATGGATGCATGGATGGATGCATGGATGGACGATCAGCTGAGTGGTTCGGCTGTGCAGACGACTGTCT